ACAGTGGGAGGTAGGGAGGCCGGGAAGGGATAACATGGGGAGAAATGCCAGATACAGGTGACGAGGGGGTGGAGGCAGCAAACCACACTGCCATGTAGGTACCTATGCAACAATCTTGCATGTTCTGCACATGTACCCCAGAACCTAAAGTGCAATAATATATATATATACATATATATATATATATATATATATATATATATATATATATATATATATAAATTCAGTTGGGAAGCAATGTTACAACTGCTAGATCATCTAGAGAAGCAGCTTTCCAGGTAAATGTCATCTCCCACCTCCTCCTCTCCCACCTCCTTTTATCCTCCTGCTCCTCCTTTCTCCTCCTCTTCCTCTCCTCCTCCTTCTCCTTTCCTTCTGTTTTTCTCCTCTTTCTCCTCCTCCGCCACCTCCTCTTTTCCTCCACTTCCTCCTTTTTTCTTCCTTTTTCTCCTCCTCCTCCTCCTTTTTCTTTTTTCTCCTTCTCCGCCTTTTTCCTCCTCCTCCCTTCCTTCTCTTCAGCCTCCATCTTCTTCTCAACGTATTAATTACACAGCCGGATCACAAATAGCTTCACGGTAGAAACCGGGTTATGTATTTCTGGGTCCCCTCACCTGGCCCAGTTCAATGCCTTCCACCTAGTAGGTTGCTCCAGAAGAAGAGGCGAGTTAAAAGGCGAGTTTTCAAACAAATGAAGCTGCAGATGCTTCTGCCAATGTAGGCTTTAATTAAAAATCAGCTGTGCTTGAAATAAATTTGTAGGTCTCTGGTGACACCCTCTGAAGCAAGGATGTTTCTGAACTCAGTATTAGAAGTCATAATCCAGTTACATTTCTCTTGGAAATCACCATCCTTTAAAGAAAATTGCCAAATCGTATACATTGCTGAAGACTATTCACTTACTTAGGGCTACAGAAGATAGGCACCAGAGAGAGAGAGCTCCCCATATCATGCATTTCTCCCTGTAAGAAAAATGTCAATAGCAGCTCTGTTCTTTAGAGGGCATGGCAAACATCCAACTTCAATTAAAAAGGGAAGCACCTGCCTCATTCTGCAGAGCCGGACCTTACACACTCAGTACGGAAGTGCTGCACAGTTGTTCAGGAGATGGCTTTACATCGTGTCACACCACCTAAGCATCTCAAGGTTCACCTGGCGTTTTTGCTTCATTCACTCATTCAGCCAAAGTTCTTCAGCACGTGCTACAGGTGAGACTGTGAGTATGGCAGTGATCAAATCCACCCGGAACCCTGTCCCCATCCCCTCCTCCTCCGATGCACACATTCTAAGGGGGAGGAAGACTCAGAACCAATGAACAGATAGAGTGAACACAAAGCGAGTTAGATGACAAGAAGCCTTGGGGATAAAAATGAAGCAGGATAAAGAGAACACAGTGGGCTGGAGGTGGAGGGGAAGCTTTGGGACCATACATCAGAGCTCAGGGAGGACCTCAATGAAGAGGTGACCTTTAGGATGAGACGAGTGAGAAGTGAAGGAGAAAGCAAGTGGTTCTTAGGGAGAGTTTTTCTGGCAGGGAGAGCAGTCAGTGCAAAGGCCCTGAGGTGGGCACGTGCTCGGGTGACATGTGTCCCCCAACATCCAGAGGGCGGTAAGTGCAGCCAGGAAGCAGAGGACAGAGGGGACGGGAAAAGGAGGAGGAGCCAGGCAGGGAGGGAACTGAATCCAAGGCGACTTCCACAGACTTCAGCTCCTCCTTTTGTCTTCCTCCTCTTTATCTCCTCCTCTTCCTGTCCTTCTCCTCCTTACTTCCTCCTCCTCCTCCTACTTCCTCCTCCTTTTACTTCCTCCTTTTACTTCCTCCTTCTCCTCCTTTTACTTCCTCCTCCTCCTCCTCTTCCTTCCTCCTCTTCCTCCTTTTGTCCTCCTCCTCCTTTTACTTCCTCCTTCTCCTCCTTACTTCCTCCTCCTCCTCTTACTTCCTCCTCCTCCTCCTTTTGCCCAGGGAGACAGGAGCCCCTGGAGGAAACTGTGCCAAGGAGGTATATGTTGGCTGCTATGTTGAGGACAAACACCACCAGAAGAGGCAACGCTGAAGCAGGAAGGTTGCATGGGGACTTCTGATCATGGAAGTGAGAGATGATGCCCATGCAGACCAGGGCGAGAGCATCATGGCTGATGCCCAGTAATTAGATACTGGATCGGTTTTGCAGGTCAAGCTGCTAGGATTTGCTGATGTATCAGAGGTGAGGTGTGCAAGACAAGAGTTAAGGATGACTCTGAGGTTTTTGGTCTGAGCCAACGGATCCATGGTGTTAACAATTTATCCAAATGAAAAGTCTGTGGGAGGGACAAGAGTGAGAATGACCCACGGATGCTATTATGATGTTAGAGGCAGCAAGGACAATCATAAATGCAGGGCTCTGAGCAACAGCCAGAAGACAAGTCTATAAATGGGAGGAAGGGCTGAGCCTTCCAGGAAAGCACGGGTCATGTGTCCTGAGTAAAAGGAGGGAAGTTAGAGTGGATGGCATAGGTGAGGGCAGGGATGTGGTCACTGAAGCATGCTACTTTAAATCCTGCAGGGAAATCTCCAGAGGGCTCTCACCTGACTACTGTGGAGGTTCTGCAAGGGTCTCACATGTAGCTAAGGGTGTACCTTGGGCAACTAGCAATGGCTTTAAGCAGATCTGTTTTCTTTTTTTCTGAGATGCGAGTCTTGCTCTGTTACACAGGCTGGAATGCAGTGGCGCAACCTCAGTTAACTGCAACCTCCACCCCTTGGGTTCAAGCAATTCTCCTTGCCTCAGCCTCCTGAGTAGCTGAGATTACAGGCACAGGCCACCATGCCCAGCTAATTTCCGAATTTTTAGTAGAGACAGCGTTTCACCATGTTAGCCAGGCTAGATGCAGATCTGTTCTCTATCCCTCAACTCCACATGTATTTGCAGGAAAACTCACCTGCCCAAGAACCACATAGGACTATCCTTTGCCTCCATTTTTACTTCTCCCATTCCACTCTACAAAGAAGGCACATTTCTCTTATCTTACCTCAACTCCCATCTTGGGACACCAACCCAAGAACCAAACAAAGGGTCATTTCAACTATCAGCGTTTGCGTCTGCATGAATTACCTTACAAATTGGATGGCAAATACTTTCAAAGGTCAGGTGAGTTTTAATTCTTTTAAGTCTTTGTTTTCAACAAAATTGAAAGAGAAACTAATCAAGTTGTCAGCTGATACATTTGATGAAAACTACAGTATTTTGGGCATATAATCTATAAGAAGTTTAAAGCTTGTGTAGCATTGCTTTAACAAAATGCCTTTCGTGTCCAACTGCTCATGTTACTACACCTGGTTAAAAAACAGCAACAGAATTGATATGAAAACTGTTATCATTCTCTCCATTCAAGTAATAAAAAGTCATCTGTGGATACATGAACTAATTTAAAACAAACTCGTCTTTGGCAGAGATATAAATTGCCAATAAAAATTCATGTTTTATAATTACTTAAAAATTTTAATTTATGCCACTTTGATGAATTATAATACCAATAATCATAGCAATCCTAAATCAATACAAAAGAAACAAAATTTAAAACTTACGGTGTAAAGGAATAATTCTGATGTAAATATTTACATTTGAAAGAACCAAGGCATAGCGATTAATAAAATACTTTCCGCCAGGCACGGTGGCTCACGCCTGCAATCCCAGCACTTTGGGGAGTCAAGGTGGGTGGATCACCTGAGGTCAGGAGCTTGAGACCAGCCTGGCCAAGATGAGGAAACCCCATCTCTACTAAAATACACAAAAATTAGCTAGGCATGGTGGCGCATGCCTGTAATCCCAGCTACTTGGGAGGCTGAGGCAGGAGAATCACTTGAACCCAGGAGGCGGAGGTTGCAGCGAGCCTAGATTGCACCACTGCACTCCAGCCTGGATGACAGAACAAGACTCTGCCTCAGAGGAAAAAAATAAAAGACTTTCAAATATAAAATTACATTACATTAGGATAAAATTCCATGTGGAAAGTAGAATAGAAATGCAGGCACAAAGAGAAAAAGGGACTAAGCTAAAATCTGACAGTTTAAAAAAAGGCTTGTTCATATGGTGTTTGAATGACATGGGCACCAAATTATTAAGGCATGTTGATTCCATTTAAAATAGAGACTGACCGTTTTATTTTTCAGTGTCAATATTTACAATTGGATATAAGAGGCATCACTTGCAATTAATTAAATTTAGGTTAGCATTGCAGATATCAAATTCAAAATCCACAGATGATATGTAGCATTTCAAAATTCTTGCAAGCATCATAAGAACACAAAGTACAAGGGCCTCTGGTTTAGGAACACTCCACCTGTTCAAACATGCAGTTCTGGAGGCTACAGAGGGCAGGGCCAGAGCTCAAGTCCTGGCGACTGGCTATGGTGTAGATTGTAGGCATCTACATGTTCCTGTATCTTTTTTAAATATTTTTTTGAGATGGAATCTTGCTCTCTCATCAGGCTGGAGTGCAGTTGCAGTAGCACAATCTTGGCTCACCGTAACCTCTGCCTCCTGGATTCAAGCAGTTCTCCTGCCTCAGCCTCCTGAGTAGCTGGGATTACATGCACACACCATCACACACAGCTAATTTTTGTAATTTTATTAGAGACAGGGTTTTACCACGTTGACCAGGATGGTCTTGATCTCCTGACCACATGATCCGCCCACCTGGGCCTCCCAAAGTGCTGGGATTAAAGGCGAGAGCCACCACACCCAGCCACCCCTGTATCTTCTTACTTGTCTTGCCTGAAGTGCTTCTGAAGTGTCCCCGCATCACCCTGGCATATGTGTTGAGCTTGTCCCTGCACTGAGCACTGCCGACTGTACTGCCATACACCCAACATTCATTGTTGGCAGGTGTGGAATAGGGGTGACAGCCATGGCTTTTTTTTTTTCCTAAACCGCTCAGAAGCAAGCATCTCAGGTACGAGGACAAGTATCTTGGGAGCAAGATCTTGCAGGCCTATGGGTGAGATTGTCACTCTGTTAACTTACCATTTGCAGCCAAATGTTGGTGGTTAAAACTTGGTTCTTCTCATCCTTAAAAAAAAAAAAAAAGCAGCAGCATAAATATGATATGGTTTACAAAAGAAGAAAGAGACAGTTATTCACATGGGGCTCTGACTGTTGGGATCCTCGTTGTGTGTGGAAATTAGAATGTGCCAAGTACTTCCAATATATGCAAGCAGCATTTCCCCAGAGTTAAGCTTTTCTATTTATTCCAAAGTAAGACACGTTTATTATAGAGCACTTACAAGAGATGCAAAGTATAAAGAAGAAAATTAAAACTCTGCAACCGACCATCCAGAAATGACGCCTGCTAACGATTTAGCTATTTATCTTTGTATTTGTAAATGATGCATACACTTGAAAAAAACATAAAAATAGGTGAAAATCCAATTTTTAAAAGTCAGGTTTATTTCCAAAATATATACAGTTTTAAACAAATACAAACATGTTATGCCTCCCTACCCCAGGAAAGGGACCATGGCCCTGTGCGGAGCTGCTGCACCCTGTTCGGATGGTGCCCCGTGGTCTGTGACTCTGCCTTGTCTTTGAAGATCTGGGACATCTTTTCTCTCATTCTCTATCTCCTAGGAGGCACCTCAGGCTCTTGAAATACACCTGAAGGTAAAGCCTACCCAGGTGAGTAAACTAAAGGTGAGAAAAATGAGGTGACTTTACAAAGTAGCCATTCAAACTTGGATCTTTCTGACTCCAGAGCCCATTTTCCCACGTTTCCAGAACATCTCCCTGAGGTCTGACTCCAGCTAAGTCTATGTGCTAACCAGGGAGCTTGGACAGGGTGCCAGCTGTGGCTTTGCTCCAGCACAGGACGTCTGAAGAAGAGACCCGTCAAGACTGGCCTTTCCAAATGGGTTGCAACTAGCGTTTTCGTATGGCTGACCAAGCCCAATATGGCTCAGCATAAAACAACATGAAAGGAGGCAAATGAGTGAATCTTGTACAACAGTTACACTGAAAATACTGTGATTCAGTATGAAACAACCAATGCCAACCTAAAGGCCTCTGAATTTAGCAATTGACACCCTCTCCAGGGAAAGTATTAATTAAGGCCCCTGTGAAGATGTGCCCAGAAGCTGAAACCTCAAGCTCCCACAATAGAAACTACTTGGCCTGGTTCACCAATGGGCAGTTTCCAAAAAAGAAGTCCCAGAGGTAGAAAGAACGTGGCATCTGCTGGGGTGTGTCAGTGTGAGGGATGCAAATGAAAAAGAGTGCTGCCTCTCATTAAAATAAAAGTGTGTTGAGCATGTCCAAGATTGGCAGGGACACTTTGATGTATCAGTGCTCCAGCCCAGCCGCTCACATGCTGGGCACCTCTGGAGTGAGATGGGCCAGGCAGGGCAAACCCCACAGACAGGACAGGGCTGCCTGGTGAGGGACATGGGATGATGTCTCAGAGGACTGCAGGCCAGGGGCAATGTCCACAGGAAGCTGAACATTCATTCAGTTACAGGAAAAAATATAGCCCATTTTCTAAATAAAATGTGCCAGGAGTTTTCAGTCGGAGCAGTTGTAGAGCTAACACATTTCTATACTCTGCACTGAGCAAATGATCCCCCATGGAGCTATCCATTTAAGCTGCTGGAGCACTCTCCAGTTCAATCTCCGGTATTACTGGGAAGCACTGTTAGAACTCTTCAGAACGTGTATCTGTTGCCTAAACTTATTAAGGAGTTGTTGTTTTTAATGGACTTAAAATTAGCAAGGGTTCCATTTAGGTGCCCTTCCTTCTTTTAACTGCGTTTGTGTCTTCATCTTCTGAGAGAAAGGCTTCTGTGGTTTGGGAGCTCAATTACTACCAATCTAATTAAAAGGCTTTCTTCCTTCCAACCTTCTAACAGAAACCCCATCAGAGGGACACTGAATTTCTACAGTATGTGGCAGCTTGGGACCAAGAACGGCTTGGTCTGTAATCAACAAGCAGCAGCTGCCACCACCTGAGCATGCAGGGATGCCCCTTAGGAGAGCCCCCGACAAAGACTCCAGAGGGAGAGAGGAGGGCATGAGGAAACATGCTCCCAGAACAATCTCCCTCCTCCTGGCACCTGCCCAGGTCACGCATGGGCTGAGTCTCCTGGCTCTCTCTCTGCAGTGACAAGTCCCTCACCTCCTTCCCATCCCCACTGTGCAGCCTGCTGCCCCTATGCACACACAAGTGCACACACACAGACATCCTCTATTCATCTTCAGACCGGGCTTTCTGACCACCAGTACGATCAGACCACTCTCCTCCAACTGCAACGTCCAAAGGATCAACTCAAAAATCCTTAGTGAAGTACACAAGCCCTTGCTACAAGCCATCATCCAGCCAAGTTTTCATTCATTCATTCATTCATTCATTCATTCAACAAATATTTATGGAACACTTCCCGTCCCCAGCATTATGCTTGCCTGATGTGTGCAGCAATTAATATTGCTCCTGAGCATCTAGAATAAAAATTGTGTGTGTGTGCTGGGGTGGTGGGGGATGAGGTAGGATTATACAACACAATAATGATACACTGTTAACCCATAACCTCAAATGGTAACAAAGGTCATGAAGGGAGGGAACAGGGCCCCTACTAAAAGGAAGACAGGGACATGGACTTCACCCAGAGTGACAAGGGTGGCGTCCTGGGGCTGGCCTCTGATTTAACAACCTGTGATCCTACAATACCACAGCAGTATGTGGGTCCCCTCCCACCCACCATGTGCACCCCAGCCCTGAGCCTTTGTCCCTTGGTCCCCACCACCAGCCCTGCTTGCCAAGGCTCTATGCAGGCATTACTGTCTCCAGACCCCCACGCCTGTGACCACAGATGAGAGGCAGTGGCTGCAGGCCTTGGTCTCCTCGTTTGCAGAATGGCTCCTGACTGACTCCTTTCCCACTTCTCAAAGGGGTCCTGTGGAACTCTGGCAGCGATAGGTCTGCAGGTGCCATGTTTTCTCCTGCAAGATCTTGACCAGCTGGCAAGAAAAGCCCTTCCTTCCCCAGGGCTGCTCCAAAAGTAGGTTCAGAGTCCATCTCTCCTCTCCCCTCTCCTTCCTCAATCCCTGTCAAGCCATCCCCACCCTGCTGCACTAAAGCTGAGCTCCTGAAAGGCTTCTGCACAGAGGAACTGGGGCAGGACTTCAGCCCTGCACTCAACTTCCTTGCCTCAGGGTTTGCACTTGGCCACACAGGAGGCAGGTGAACTGAGAGACCTGGGGATGGTGGCCACACCTCTGATGAGGAAAGTCCCCAGATGGGATTATAGTTCCCACATGGCCCTCTGGCCCCCAACAGAAGGACATTCAGGGCAGATATGCAGGGGATCCACTCCCACTGCCCAGGACTTACCTAGGGATGAAATCCAGTTCCTCACCCCAGGAGGGAAGTTTCCTTGTCTTTCACCCAAATACCCTCCACTGCTGCCAGAGCCCCCAGCCTGCCATGCAGCACTTGAGCCTTAAACCATGAATCAGCAGGCAGAGCTGCCTACAACAGTCATTCCCTCCCAAGTTGGAGCCCCCCCACCCCGGTCAAACAAGGGGGTTCCTGCAAGAGAGGGGACAGAAACAACCAACCCTGGCCCAGAGGCCTGTGAACAAATATGCAGGTTTAGTTTCCTGAAGAATAGCATCCACAGGAACCTGAGGGCCTGCAATTAAGTAGCACAAACTCTGTGTTTTAGTTTGCTTGGATGCTTATAACAAAATATCATACACTGGGTAACTTAAAAACGATAGAAGTTTGTTTCTCACAGTTCCGGAGGCTGGAAGTCCATGATTAACCTGCCACTATGGTTGAACCCTGGTGTCTCGTGAGGGCTGGCTTCCGGGTTTATAGGCAGCCACATTCTCACTGGCTCCTCCATGGTGGAAGGGGTGAGGGAGGACTCTGGGGCCTCTTATATAAGGGCACCATCCATGATGACTGCACCCTCATGGACTAATCACCTCCTAATACCATCACCTTGAGGATTCAGATCTCAACATACGCATTCAGCAGAGGACACAAACATTCGGACCACTGCACTGTGAAAGTGGGTTTCAGCAATTTGAGATCCTCAGGCTGCCCCCTCCTATTCCTGCTGTGCCCCACTGGGCAGGAGGCATGGAAGAACAGAGTCCACACGGGCAAAAGAACCTGGAGGCTCCCAATTCAGCAGGCAACTGGCTTCTGTGCATTTCAGTATTGTCTCCTGCAAAGCAGGGATAAAAACAGCTTCCCTGACTGCTATAGCAGGTGGGAAGAGAAGGGGCACACTGCAATCTGTGCAATGTCACTCAGTGCCAGGGGCTGTCACCGTGTGGCTACTCACACACACGCTCTCTTGCAAAACCTAACTCCCTTCTCCCTCTGGGATAAACGCAGGAGGAGGAAGTTCCCCAGCCCACCACAGAGTCCCAGAAGGCCAATGTGGCAAAGCACCCTCAAGACAGCGTGCCTAACTCTATTCTTTTTCAATCTGAGCACTTCAGTTGAGAGCATACCTTGATTTAAGTGATCATGCTTTTTAAAATCAATCTCTCTGAGAAATTGTGTGTCTGGTTGAGAGTACAACTGCCGTGGTAATGCGTAATGTGCTATCTTGCATTTCTGCAGCAATTATTCTTTTGTGGATTACTGGGTGACATCATTCAATGTGATTTTACTGAGCTCCTATCACATTTTTTTTTGCCTTTGTATAGATGCTAAGAAAAAAAAACAAAAGCAAACACATAACAATAGACCTAACCTCCATTTCTAAATTCTTGTTCGAAGAGAAAACAGCTAGATAGTATAAATTCCTATTTGTGTTGCACTCTAAAGTTTTTAACAAGGGTGATTTCTTTTATTTAATGTAATCTTTACACCAATCATTTTTCTCTTAGTTTTACAGCATAACAAACTGAGGTTTTTCCTGAGTCAGCAAGACAGTGGGTCTGACAAAAGACTCATAACCAGAATAAGAAATAAACTCCTAAAAATCAATGAGAAAAGGGCAGGCAATCCAATAGAAAAATGGGCAAAAGATGAACAAGCACTTTACCAAGAGGATATCAATAAA